GTGTTCACGTAGGAAGTAAGTAATATCGAAGAACAAATAACGATATCAGTATATTCCAAAACTGCACATCAACGATGCTTTATTTTCCGGAATCATCTCACAGAATTGAGTAGGAATGATTGATAGATCAACAACGCAGTTACGGAAACTGTTTCTCTAATGCTAACGGTTTTGGTTTGCGGATTTGTTTTACTCAAATTTTTCCCGAACTGATGTAAATCAACGACTGAACTTCTAAATTGCGCGCAACCCGTTGTCGAGCGCGGTCTTCATTACGCATTCCCATCCATCCCTCGAAAACGTTTTCCGATAGGAACTTTTAATAGCCACAATTTGAAAGTTGCCCGTGGAAAGACACCCTGTAATCCGAACTCTTTTCGTCTGTCTGACGGATCGAAAGATCCAAACATCGACGTAGACTCTTCAGGTCATAACGTTCCCGTTGGACGAAAAAGTTGGGTAGTTTTGTCAGGGAATTTGGTCGTTGCATAGAACTTTGTATCGATATGAGACATCGTAGACGCGTGCAGACGTTGAACTTTCATAAATGATATTCGTAGAGGTTCTATAACTCTGAGGTTGATCAGTCGTCACTGCCCATGATAGTGAAAGGAACTGATGGATAATCAATCGCTGTTCTTCAATTTCTTATCTGAAATTGAAAGAGGCAGTCGTTCCTTGTATCTTTTTACTTCTGTTTTTCCAAAAATCGTTAACCAAATGCAATTTCATTTTAAGTATGTTACAGTGCACATAGGAGCGTCAAACTTACTGTACTAAACATTTTTTATTGAGGGCCGCTGGGGCTGCTGCTCTATAAGGATGGTTCACCCTGCATCTTTTCTTACTGGACTGTGTTATGTATTGCTACAATCACTACATATGATATGTTTGGTACGTATCTTAACTGTTCATAATTTAATGTATCCAGATTTCTGAACAATTTCATAGTATTCGAATGGTGTTTCTGGGATTATTACGAGAGTATGGAATGATTTTGGATAATACAGGATATTTTTTTTCTTGTTAAATTTCAGGAAGTAACCGTATGGATGAGTTTTTCAATATTATTGGTATTGAATATTTTGATTTAACTTTCTTAGATAGATAAAGTTGGAATCATTATTTTACTTTTTCTTATTTGATTTAACTGAACATTTCTCCATTTTCTGATATCATCCAGGGAATATGGAGGTGGGGCGGTGGGATAAGAGTTTTATGATTGCTATAATAAATATAAGAACATAACGATTTTAAACTGCTAGAGAAAAATGGTCCGATGATTTATCTTGAATGGGTACGCGAGAAATGACGCTTAATTTCAATAACAAGGGACGTTCGATGCTGCATGCCATATTAAGGTACAGGTTTTTATAAAATGCAGTACAATATGGTATATTAACACTTCACACTAACAAATATTAGGGTGATCAACGACAACGGAACTCACCGGAAACGATACCATGGAAAAACATTGAATAGTTGACTGAGTTTGTTGGGTTCATTATCTTTACTTCTCAACTTCAGTGAGTAACTGCAGAATGCGTAGAATCATTTTTCCCAGGATTATTGAATACAATTTTCGAATAAAATACTAATCATAATTTTATTAATTAACCAAATATAAAACGTGTAGGAGAAATATGCGAGTCCGTTTAATGACGCCGAAATGGTTATTCGAAAATGATTATCGGGTGATCCTTCATTTCTCATGCTGTAAGTGGAATTAATGTTCATTATTATTTATTTTTTATTCAAGAATCATTTTTCCATGAGCAGTAACACGGATAAATATTCGGCGGAAGTCCAGAACACCTGAAAAAATTTGTATATCGCCGATGTATTTGTTACTAATGGTAGAATTTAAATAACATATCTATTCCACAATCGCTCACGAACGATTCTTTATTTTCAAAGATCATCTCACATAATACAACCCGTAAAAATGATTGATGGATCAGTAACGACACTGCGCAAATTCTTTCTCTAATGCTCATGCTTGCGGTTTATGGGTCTCGCGGGGTTCTTTCACTTGAATTCTTCCTGAATGAAAATTCATCGATGACTGAACTTCTAGGTTGCGTGCACCCTGTTGCCGGGCACAGTCTTCATTCTACATTCGCATCCGTTAGGAGCTTTTAATAGCCACAATCTGGAAGTAGTTGTGGAAAGACACCCTGCAATTCAGAATCTTTTCGTTTGTCCGAACAATGAAAAGATTCGAAGACCATTCGCAGAATCCTAAGAGAATGACTTGAGGATTTTTCAAAGAGGATGATTCCAATGGTCGAAACAAGTTCGAGCAGGTCTATCGGGGAATTTATTCGTGTCACAGTGGTGAAAAATTGTCTTGATATGCAACAATGTAGTCACATAAGGTTCAGTGATCTTTCATAAATAGTATTCCTAGTGTTTCTAACTATAGTCTCTAGATTGTGCGCGAAAATGATCAGTCGTCACTGCTTGAGACAGTGAGAAGAACTGACAGATAACCCATCGCCGTTCTTAGGATCTGAAATGAAACGATCAGTGACTCTTCGGATTTCTGTATTGCTGTTTCTTCAACAATTGCTAATGTGTTCGAGTTTTTATTTTAACATCGCATCGTGGACTATAGAAGTGAGAACTTACTTTGCTAAACATTTCCATGGAGAAGATACCGAATTTGCCTGCTTTCAAATAAATTGGCCGCGAGGATCTTACAATGATGAATAACAGGCACTTTGCGTCTGACGGCGCCACGTTGTACCATCTGGATTCGTAGGCAGCGATGCCCAAACTACTGCTCTGAAATATGTTTATTAAATTTTCCGAAATTCATAATTCTCCTCCCGTATACCTCACCAAACGCGCAATACAAATATTACTCAGATTTGGATTGTACGTGTCATATGGTATATAATTATACACCACCGACCAAACTCAATAGAATTTCGTTGTTGCATAGGATATTATTATTTCTTCTCATCATTCCAATTCCCTATTCAAGAAAATTCAAGAATATGAAGGAAGATAATAATGGATGTGGGGCCAATGTAAGTAAGCTATTATAATAATACACCTAACTCCAAGAAGGAACAAAGAGGATCAAAGATCAAAAGGGCAAATTTCTTAGTCAGACAACGCTTATTAAATACTGCAGATAAGTCATGGCGGCGGGCACTCATGTTAAATGAATTCTTGACGAACGACACTTTGTCTCAATAATAACGGGAGATTGTTTAAATATTATGTAAATACCATACCACCGTACGAAATATTAGCCCTTTGTACTCGAGAGGTGACTCTCAGTCACCATTTCATTCGATACAAAAAATTACAAAGTGTCATATATAATATTAAGTTTCGTATAATGCATCAATATGTGAAGTATCTATATAAAATAGCTCTGTTTCTTAATTTATGTATGTTTCCTCATTAGTTCGTTTCAAATAATGTCGTCTACGTCTTATAGGAAAGTGCCGAACCGTTTCTAGTGAAAAGCTTCCGAGTGCAAAGGGTTAGAAATTACAAAATAACATAATAAAAACACTTTGCACTCAACTTTTTCTCAACTATCTTTTACGGAAACTCGAACTTATTTAGTGTATATTGAATTGTATGCATTATATGTAATGTTATTCCATTAATAACTGTCTATTGCATTCAATATATTAGTTAATAAAATACAGTTTAAACATACTTACTTCAACAAGAAGTAACTCGCCCACGTAACAATAAACAAACATGTGCACCATAATAAACAATACGAAGAGTATGAAAAAGAACATCTGGAACGTTAGAAAGCCGTTCTCGTCTTTGAGTATTACCTGAAATCTCAATTAATATGTCAATTAACATCACTCTATCGATCACTCTAGGAAACTTACATTGAAAAATAAGAATCCCTGAAAACATATTTCAATGGTGATGAGCATCATTTGCAAGAACAGTAGAACGCTGAAACACTCTGCGATTTCGATGCCTGCCCTTCAATGAAAAACTACATTCATCACCATGTTTAGATCAAGAACTATATTTCCTAAATTTATTGTCATTTGGGTATAGACAGAATGAACTGACCGTTCGACACCGGTAACGAATTGAGTCAGTAAAATTACAGAAACCTAAAGAAAGTGTATTTAATAGATTTACGTAATCATATAATTCCAATTTATGATACTAAACGAAAATAGTTTCTTTTCATCTTTTCAGTATCCTGTCCAATTTTCTCTTTAATTCTCCCATCAATGATCTCCTTCAATGAAAAGTAACTTCAAATTCAAAAGTTCAAATCAAAAGAATTTCAAAGTTGCAAGTAACGTTGAACAATCAATTAATTATCTAACAGACAATAGAGTTTCCTTGTTCACCAGTTCAGATGTTCGTGTCTCTTGACGATCCAAGTCAGCTCCTTCTGAATGTCGCTAGATTTTCTGGTCCCGTCTGCTTCGTCCATCAAGTTTTCCAGTTTCCTCTTTAAATTTTGGAATTGCCCGCAGAGGTGCAACACTAGCATAGCTATGAAAATGTCGACGCCGGTGTAAGGGAAGGTACAGCAGTAGGCAGCCACTACTTGCGCCACGTTCGTTATTATCCTGACCGACGTTTGTCTCATATTAAAAGGGTAGTATCCGGGATAAATGACCAAGTGATCCTGACGCTTCGTGCGTACGTCACTTGTGACGATCGAGTACGTTCGTGTTCCGATGAAGGCAGTCACCATGCACTGAGTCAAAATCGTACACCAGATGGATAAGTATTTCGAGAGTTTCGCGCTGTTCATCATTGTTGTTCTCTCTTCCTCGGTCTTCGGAGCGTACCAGTCGTCGTAAAACGATTTAATAAGGGGCTTAAGATCTTCGAACATAAATTGAAGTCTTTGATATTCGAGAAATCGAGTTGAACAATTGTAATTAACTAATTCCTATGTTGTATCTTGTGTAATTGGTTGTGTTCTTGCAAAAATATCAGAGAATTGTTTCGAATTTCTACGATCCATATACTTAACAGCTAATTAGTAACTACAATAAAACTATAATTAATTAATTAATAATAATCAAACTATAACTTATTGGTTAATAGCTATAAATTTGCGTTGTTTAGAAAATAAGAAGTTTATTTAGGAAGTTGGTAATATTGAAGTTTAAACAATTGTAACACTTTCATTCTACCAAAAGAAGATTAATTGTTTAGGGTTTCATTTTTTAGTCTTACCTTCTCGGTAATACCAGACGACGAGTACCTTCATGGCGGCATTGTAGGTTGGAATGTTAGCCAAAGACAATGTCTGCGTGATCTGTCCGACGTCTCCGTCCAATCTGAACAAATTTATACTTTGCCATATGGTGGTAAACATAAGGATGCAGAAGACGGATAGGAAAGCTCGGAGATCCGCCATACGATCCTGTTGCACCATCGGTTCCGGCCAGATACCAATTATATGCAGATTCAAACGATTCCATCCGATCGCTTCTCTCAAATCTATGACAATATCACAATTGTAAGGAGATTGATAGTTCATTCACGGAAATGTTAAAATAACAGGTTTGTAATTTCTGAGATGAATTAAAAGAATTTCAATTCGTATATCTTTGTAGAACTTTCTTATTATCATTGCGGCGAGGGGTAAATCTAGCTATAACTATTTTCATCGAAGGAAAATTTTCTTCAATATCAGGAATAATTAAACAATAATGTACTCTAGGAACATTTGAAAAATACTTTTCAAACTTTATTTGGTACATTCACTGTTTGTACTAGAACACTTCCACGATCAAAGAAACAAGAACATCCCAGCAACAAAGTATTCACGAACGAAAGAATGGTTGATTCTATGACGTGATAGATACTTTTACCAATTTCCGTAAAAATTGCAATGTTATTTAAACATTTTTTCTAACTTTTCTATTTACAAGGCTGAAAATTCTATTTTGGGGAAGAGGAATGGTACCTCGTTCGAAATCCATTGCCACCACTCGTGTATAGACCACAAGACAAAGTGACTACTCACTAAATTCTGTCTGTCTTCTGGTAGGGAGGACGCATGCTCGTTTGCCGTGAGAAAGTTAGTTTCTACTCCTGCAAAAAATGCAAGAAAGTCAAGCGGAACAGGGCTGTGGACGTAGTTTCGTAGTTTTATTCTTTCGTGATGATGCAAAAAAGTCGCTCCTTTGTTCGTAACTTTGTCCGTCAACGTCCTCACTCTCGTCGATTATTTAAGCCACCCCAGCAGACTCAAAAAAAATTTTCTTCCTATCGTTTTCGTAATTGACAGATGTAACTCGTAACGTGACTTTAATAAAACATGTTACGAATTGCTGTCTGTAGAACCTCGAAATGAAAAAGACAACTCGTGCAGTAAGCACTTCAATTCTTTGGTTTGAACTGATAGTAATTAAGTCAATACGAGATCTTCATCGACTAACTAGCAGAAATGAAAGTGAAAAATACTTTTTTCAAATAATAATGAATTGTATTTTTACAGGTGTGTAGCTGAAGCAGACACTGTTACAAATTCTAGATCTAAGGTAGTTGAAGAATTTAACATACAGGTCAGTAATTTGTTAACTGTTTTGTAGATAACACGCTCAGTTAGACATTATTAATTTTGTTTACAGATTATTACAATTCGCATCGAAACCAATGAAATATCAAAGAAAGTATCGCATCTAAAATCTATCTGGATCAAAGACGTGTGTCTAGTTACCTTTTCTTTACAGAATAGTTTGATTAGAATTTAATTATATAAAACTATCGACGATAATTATGCACACATTCATTAATGTTACAATTACGTACCATCACAAACATCAAAACACTTGTCTGTAATCAATGAGAAGTACTTTATATCTGTTTCTATTTATTTTTTAATCAACAGTTGACACGATCGTAGCCATAATAACATGGATAGATATGCAGCAGAAGTTTTTGCAATTGGACAAAAAATTGTATATATTCGACATTTTCATCATTTTAAAAATAATGATTTAATTTCTCGTTGACTCACGGCGGCTCGTACCAAATGCAGTCGATGTTCTTGAATTGACTGAGCAAGACCAGTGCTATAGAGTTCAGAATATCATAATTAAATACTAATCACGACAATGTTTAAAATTCAAAGTTTGTGTTCAACTGACTTCTGCCTTAGTAACATCATCATTGAGATTTACTAATTCATATTTCAATATCTTGTAATTGAATTATGATAATATTTCATAAGTATGGATCATTTAATGTACTAATGACGCGTTGATTGTATTTCATCGAGAACGTTTTCTAATATGAACATCTAGTTGCAGTAATTTGAAAGTTCATAGGGGTAGGCTGCAATTACAACTCATTTCATTCGTCTGACCGATTAAAAAAATTGAGCAGTTTCGACAGCGAACGCTTCTCCATGGAAAATGTACCAAATTTGTATACTGTCAAACGAAGTCGTTGGATCATAGCGTGATCAATAATAGGCACCTGACTTCTGATAACGTGACATTGTACCAGTTGGATTCGTAAATCAGCAATCACCGCTGCGGCTATGTGGTTCAAGGTGAATCCGAAGAATCAGAAGAATTCGAGGGTGGCCGCGGCACTGATATAGACCGTCGGATGCACGTAATCCTTGTGGATATCGTCTGGTACCGCGGCGATGCGATTCAAGGATATTCATTTCATCGGTGAAAAGCGATCGAAGTTTCGTGGGGCGCGCGGCAAGCACGCACTTCAGGTAATACGACACGGCACCGTCACGTGGCTCGCGTGCCACCGATAACACTACTGACCTATTCTTCCTTCCTATCTTTCGCTTTCGCATCTGGAGCGTGTTATTTCTCTCCCTATGCACGTTGAAACTGAGCTTTTTTCACTTTTTGTTTGAGTACAACACGTATCACCAAACATCGAAAGACGAACTTATCAATTGTAGCGATGCCCGCATCGACTCGAAAAGCGAACCGCATGCATTAACATTAAAACTGCCCGGCGAATCAAATTGGTCGAGTTCAGAATTTTTATTTTGCAAGTATTTAAATTACGAAGGCGTTTTTGCGAAAGAATTTTAATTAAATTTTCGTATTTGTATAGATATAAAACTAGGAAACTCTTTGAATTTTCAGGAACGTATTGTTCTAAGTTTTATAAATAATTAAAAGTAAGTCATGCCGATTGAACGGTAGTTTTAGAGTTAATCAAAAGCGGCGCGTGCAACGTTATAAAGTCTACCCACCCTTACATAAAGCGCGGACTAAACTAACCCTTCTCCGCCGATCGTACGCAGCCTTCCCCACTCTATACAGGCAGGATAAAACCAAACCCCAGCCGTTCCTCGCGAAAAACCAGCATGCGCAAGATCAGAACGGTTCGACTTATCCCCCACCATTTCTTTCCCATATATCTTCCGTTCAACTCCCGTTTCCTCGGATATCTGAGATTCGTCGCCGCCGGATGATTGAATGAAGAGGAGTAAATGAAAAATAGCACTCGCGAAACATTCGTTGCAAATGGACACGTGCTTAGAGAAGGAGAGATATGTTTTTTATTTTTTGTTTGTTTTTTTAGCATATAAAATTGTACTCATACATAAACTATATATAACTTACAAATTACAAAATGTGTATTGAAAACTATTGTCGATTTACGTGTCCTTCGTGTCGCTGTCTCAGTCTTCCGCTATTACTTTGTTCCCTTTAGCTTCCATTTTTGGTTTTATATCTTGTAGAACGTGCTCGTGCCTTCCCTGCAAAACATAAAAAAATACTGTAAAATACTTGCTTGGTAATCGGTAAGTTTGAATTTAATATACATACCAATGGTACAGCCATAAGATACACCAGATGGATCGATCGTGGGAGTATCATTTTATGCATGGATGCTCACCAACTCCATACAGAACTCTATAGCTGAATGTTTCAAATCGGATGGTTTTTGTAATCTGTCCTCCATTATAGATCAAACCACAAGGTGCCAGGTCCACACATTTATCGATGTTGAACATTCTTTTGTTTGCTCCAGGCTTGAACAGATTGACAGTAATAATCTTCTCAACGGTAAATACTACACCATCCCTTTCAATTAAACCTATCACTGTCCCAGATATAAAATGATAGAATTTTAATTATTGAATATTATTCAGAAAGATAGAAGGTCAAATTTGACAATGAATATTTAAATACGTTCCATTGAAATAGAGACAATGAAATAAAGATTAAAACATAGTTTAATTCTATGTATTGATGAGTCAAATACACTGGATAGATAAAAATCGTTTTCATTCTAAATCTCCGATAACGGTTTCTGTACAGCTTATTATTGGATTAATACATTTCATATTTACCTCCATCCTGCGTAACACATTCTGTAGCTAATCTTAATTACGAGTACAGTTGTATTTTTCACTGAAAACAATTGTTTACATTCAAACATGATGTAAACACGAGGAAATCAAAACTTGACGGCTGCGCCGCATAGCTCCGTTCAGGTGAGGTTAGATGACACTCTCAACACTACCATCTTACGACAATCGCTAGAAGTCTTCTACACTTTATAAAGAAATTCAAACCGTAGGTAATGGTGCACAAAAACATAATATCCAATAGAATTTTTGACAAATATCATAGTTAATCAAATACATTAAAATAATATATTTGATCTTTTATTTACTTCGAAAAATAAATGTAGTGCATTGGGAGTTACATTGTTAAAAATACTTAAATGCCTATATATTTAAGTAATGCAAAATCGTATGTGCAAATTACTAAAAATTCTTCTGCATTTTATTCCGGCTAAATTTTCCGCAGTTTACAACAAACGAAATTTTATTTAATGTGCAGAAAAGATTATGAAAAACCAATGCTCTTTAACTAAATTAAATAACAACAAAGGAATACTTAAAGATCATAATTTATTCGTGTGTATTTTCACGCCCTATTTAATAATATTTTCATTTTTAAATATCCAACTAAGATTATCGTTCACCAGAGATCCTTCGAAGAAAGTGCAAGTCCCAGATGCACGAAACCAAAATGTCGGCGACACGGTACGCTCAGTCACTTTTATAAGACGGTTTATTCCCTCAACAAACCTTGAAGCTTGCTCGTTTGTCATTCGTGTGCATCGATCCGAGGGTGAGCCAATATCTTATGATTTTCTCCCATTGTAACCGTAATCCACGCACAATCATTAATTATGACGTGTAATAGGGGAAACCGAACGTGCGCTTCCAGCACTTTCTTTCCTTACCGGTGACGGATGTGAGCGGTGAAAGCTTGGCGCTCTTGGACTCTTACTTTGTGCACGAGTAAAGACAATGTCTACCTGCTATTTCATTTATTCGCATGTTTTATATTCCACGCATATCAAGGAATATATTTAAATACGTCATTCATATCAATTGTAAGAGAATGTTTGCAACTCGAAGATCAATGTAAATGAAACAAAAAAAAGAACAAAGTATATTTCTTCATTAAAACGTTGATAATCATTAATAATCTTAGTACAAACGTAAAAAAGATTGAACAGAAAAGATGGATGGACAAAGGAGAAGAAAATGAGTAAGAAAGTGGACATTTTACTTTCAACAATATAATGGACAGTCAGTTCTCAGTTGGATTCAAAATAATGTGACGATTTCGTTAAAAAATTGCAAGGCATTAATGTTTCACATAGTAGAGAAAAGCGTTAGGGACAGTATCTACACTCCGGGATCGTGAATAATTCAATTGCCGTTCGCATAATTGATCATGCAACTACTAGCAGTAAGATGAAAGGTCCGGTAGCAGTGTAATGCCGTTGTAGCCATTGCAAGTATATTCGTAATTGAAGGTTCGAGAATGCAGAAATTAAATATTCATCGGCGAAGGGAAATCGTGTGTCCTCGCATCCGTCTAGAAAAAAATGATATCCTCGAGCCGCCGAATGCATAATTGATGCGCGGATCATACGAGCAACAAGGAGGCTCGTTAATATTTCATACTTTTATTATTTCTTCACTAATATTCTATTCTGTTACCATGGTTTTCGTACTTTTCGTGTATCATTCCCACTCTCCTTTCCTTCATTTCTTTCTGGTTTGACGAGGGGTCGTAATTTCCTTTGAATCTATCGAGGCTCGGTTTAGTGCAAGGGAATGGGGTCTGCCGGATGCAATAAACCGAGAAATATGTAAATTGTATACAGATAATGCGTCGTTAGTCCAATTACATCCGAGATACCCTTTTTTTTTATTCTGCAAAGGAATAAGATGATTGTTTATGTATTTTATTGATACCATTTATTCTGTATTGTATAGAGTACCTGAGTACGCCTTGACATCAGG